TTTAATCAAGATCTTTCCCATCAGTTTCTTAGTTATGCATCGTCAAACAATATCAAACATGAACATCTAGCACTTGCTATTTACTTTATCTTCTTATTTAAATTAACGAATGGTGAAAACGATTTATTTATTTCAATTAATATCGACAATCGTTATAGAGATGAACTAAAATCTATAATTGGACTGTTTGAGAATGTCATTCCACTGCGATGTCAATTAGATCCTCGCTGGTCTTTCCAATATCTACTTGATTATGTTCGAGAGACAACAACAAATAGTATGAAATATTCGTATTTTCCTCTTCAACGCATTCTCAATGAACATCCAAATATTTCAAAACCAGCATTTCTTGATACATCTTTCAAGTTTTTCGCCACTGAAGGCAGAAATACTGAGAGTGAAATAGTGATTGGTGATAGTAGAGCTTATCTTATGCCTTTATCAATTGAGATTGATGAGGATGATATCATGAGCAACTTCGGTTTTATCCTTATCAACCGATGTGATCGTAGCACCAATCAACTTTCGTGTACAATTAATGCATCAATCGATTTGTTTAATGCAGAGACAGTTTATAAGACATCACAACAGTTTCATTCGATGATGCATCAATTATCTATATTTCTTTACAGTCAACCAACGAAACCAATCTATGAACTATCTTTAATATTGCCAAGAGAACGATTATTTCTACAATCAATAAACAATACACAAAGATTATTTTCTTCTAGTATTTGTGTTCACCATGAATTTATATATCAAGCAATGAAATATTCACAAAAACTAGCAGTTGAACTTGATGAACAGTCATTAACATATGCAGAACTTCTGTATTATTCTCAATGCATCTCTCTCTATTTATTATACCATTATAATGTAAAATCTGGTGATATCGTCTGTCAATGTGTGGAGCGTAGCTTAGCTATGGTAAATATATTCGAAAGACATATTTTTGCGATTATATAATATGTCGTGTATTTTGTTTAGGTCATTGGGATATTAGCGATTGCTATGGTTGGCGGTGTCTATTGTCCGCTATCACCACAAGATCCTCCTCAACGATTACAAGCCCTTCTCAATCAAACACACAGTCGTTTAGTTATGGTTCATTTCTTTACAAATTCCATTTTTGAAATCAATGTTGTCAGATTGAATATTGACACAGCTATCACTATCACTGATATTTACGTTGATATTAATCTACACAAACTTTCAAAAGTATCTGTAACACCAGAACATATTGTCTTCACAATTTTCACTAGCGGTTCAACTGGCATTCCAAAAGCAGTTCGTATACTATCTATTTCTTCGTACATGTGTTCTAATATATTTTGTTAATAGGTTCAATTATGTCATCGAAATTTTACTGAGTTTATGCATTCGTTTATTTATGCTGGTATATTGTCAAAATGTGACACTATAATACAAATGGCTCGATGTTCTTTTGATAATCATCTTCTAAGTCTTGTCGGTACATTAATTGCTGGAGGTACGTTAATAATGCTCCGACCAAATGGTAATATGGATTTAGAATATCTTGCTGAAGTACTTAATCAAAAGCAAATCACTGTTATGCATTGTGTTCCATCTTTATTGAATAGTTTGTTTACTTTTATCAAAGAGAATAGACATAGATCAGCAGTGAAATGGTTACGATCCTTATGTAGCGGTGGTTAGTACTTGTTTTCAGAATTATTAAAGTATTAACGCTTTTCTTTTGATCATTTCGTTTCAGGAGAGACTCTCAATATGAAAGTAGTTAGTATATTAAAAAGTTTGATCACAAATAAATGTCAAATTCGTAATCATTATGGTCCAGCAGAAATAACGATTAATTGTGCTTGCCATGCAGTTGATCTGGACAAAGAGCAGATGAACATTCCGATAGGCCGGCCTCTTCCCAATTATCGATGTTTAATTGTAGATGAGTTTTCACAAAATGTCTATGTTGGACATGAAGGAGAATTGCTCGTTGGAGGTGTTGGTGTCTTTACTGGATATCTTGAACGTGATGACTTATCAGCAAAAGTATTGATCAATATCAATGAGCAAATTTTCTATAAAACAGGTGATCTTGTTCATATGGACAATAAGGGATTAATACATTATGTTGGTAGAAAAGACTATCAGATAAAACTACATGGACAACGAATTGAACTTGGTGAGATCGAACGATGTATACTCAAGGTTCCATCTATATCTACTTGTGTTGTTATGAAATGGAATGATGATTATTTAGTTGCATATGTTCAAAATTCTGACATTAATGAACAGGAATTGCGTGAACATTGTCAATCACATCTTCCACCACATATGATTCCATCGGTATTCATTATACTTGAGAAACTACCTTTAAATGCAAATGGAAAAGTAAACAGAAAACTTCTTCCGCCACCTCACTTCTCATCAATACATCTCACAAACAGTATAGAACTATTACGACCAACGAATGATATTGAGGTTAGTATTCATCATATTTGGTGTGAGACGTTTAAACAAAATCAAATCTCAATGAATACAAATATATTTACTATTGGTGGTCATTCATTACTTATCATGCAACTGTTTCATCGATACAAGATCGAATTTCGTTTAGAAACTAATGCTCTTTTTATTACTGATCTATTTCAACGTCCAACAATTATCGATCATGCCCAACTCATTCAGCAATCTATTAATACCATTCACACTCTCTATGATTATCCTTGGTCTTCATTACATCTCATTCAAGGTAAAGAATACAACTTGCACTTGATATTATCATAAACTAATATGTTTATCTGTTTTGTCATTCTAGCTAGGGCATCATTTGCACAAGAACGAATCTATTTAGATGAACAAATTCGTTTTTCATCTAACAAAACAATAATGAATAATATGTATGTTATTCCATTACTTTATCGTATATCATCTATAAATGATCATATATCAACTACTCGATTACATCATGCATTTCAAAGAGTGATCACAAAACATAATATTCTTCGAACGGCACTTTATATTGATGAAACAAATGGTAATATTATACAACATTGTTTAGATGCAAATATTATTCTTAATGATCATATGAAATCATATGCATTCGCACTTGTCAATCTTCATAATGATGATCGTCGTCATATGAATGAAATCATTGCAGAAATAATAAATCAATCTGATTTATTTGATTTATCAAAAGGACATATTATCAATTGTCATGTTCTTCGTCGTGATCAATCCAATCATTTATTCAATCAGAATAATGATCTATTGACTAAAAATGATCTAATATTGTTTACCATTCACCATGCTTGTTTTGATGGAGCATCGACATCAATGTTCATTCATGATCTTTCTGTTGCTTATCAATCTAATGAGTTGCTTTCTATAGATGATAATTCATTACAATATATTGACTATTCGATTCATGAACATATAATGGATATGACAGTATCTCAAGAGTTTTGGCAATTCGAACTCAAAGGATATAATCTGACTCGTCAATTATCCTTACCTGTTGATCGACAACGTTCATCAACTAATCAACAACGATCAGGTTTAGCTTCTTCAGCTCAAATCACTTTTGACGATGAAATATGTGCATCATTTCTAAATTATGCATCATCACATCATCTCACACTCTTTCAACTTGGATTATCCATATTTTATGTCTTCCTATTCAAATTAGCTCATGGTGAGAGCGATTTATGTATTTCTACTATCAATGCTAATCGATATCGAAGTGAATTAGTGAATATGATAGGAATGTTTGTTTCAACATTACCATATCGTGCTGAGCTTGATCCTCATTGGTCATTTGATAAAGCAGTCAAATATGTACAAGAAAAATGTTTATCAATTCTTGAACATTCTCATTATCCGCTTCAATATATTCTTGCTGATTTACATGTCACTAAATCAAATATATCATTTCTTGAAACAATGTTTGATTTCATCACTATATCAGAAGATGTTAGTGGGTTATGTTTGAATGGTGTTAATCTAGAACAAGTGTCGTTAAATGACTCATATGAAATAGCTAAGTTTGACTTCTCATTGACATTTGTACACAATCCATCATCAGATGGTAATCAACTGTCTTGTTGTTTTGTTTGTTCAAGTGATATATTTGATGCAACAACAGCTGCCGTAATAGGTCGAAGATTGAAATATCTTTGCGAGCAGATTTTTGATAGTAAATCAAGGAACAGCTTGATGTATGGATATAGTATATCGATCAGCAAACTTTCTCTTATTCTACATGAAGAAAGTGAAGAAA